GATCTTTTTATTCTATTCTGTTACATACTACTGCTTAAAAAACCCTTTCTTTTATAGAAATAATTAACTTAAAAATAGTATTATAGTAAGGATTCCCTGTCCTGGTTGACATTGTTTTTAAGATGGATTTATATAATTATTTTAATCCAGTTGTTATGGGCCTCTGAAAATTTAAAATTCCTTTGCCCCCTTTTTGGTGGTTCCTGGAAATACACAGGTTCTGAGCATGAGCAGATTGGGCGGTGCTGCTGCTGTTGCTCCCCTTGTTGCTGATATGCCCTCTGAGGTATAACTCCAAACCCATCACCCCCATTTTGCATTTTTGGGTTAGAATTGTTTACTTTGACTGAGAAAAACCCACAACTCAGGTGGGTTGGTTTCCGTAAAGAGAAAGAAAAAGGAATGAGTAAAATTTGCATGTGATCTTATGCAAAAATTTGGAAGCATAAAAAAGGGGGTGTTCACTGCTCTTCTCCCCCAATCCGACCGTGTCCTCAACCACACCACAACACGACAAAACGAAAAGTAGCACGCGTGCCCCCACTTTCATAGATTCCTCCCTCTTTCTCTTTCTCTCTCTCTCTCTCAAGCTTTTCTTCTTTCTCTCGTTGTTTTCACTTTGAAAGTTCTTATAGGAAAATTAAAAGACGACTGATAAATAAAATAGTAAAATAAACGAGTACAATGGTTTTTTTGTCCTTGTAGGGTGGTGGTGATTGTATTCAAACCAGCGCCAACGGTGGGTCCCTTCCGCGCAATTCTAACGGCAACCAAACGTCGTCGACTAACGACAGTTTAACGGTGACGGAGCAGCAAGTGGCGAAGCTGATGGAAGAGGACATGGGCTCCGCCATGCAGTACCTTCAAGGAAAGGGCCTTTGCCTCATGCCCATCTCCCTCGCCACCGCCATCTCCACCGCCACGTGTCATTCCAGGAATCCCATGATCAACAACGGAAACGCGAACAACGGCGGCAACCACCCGCTGCTTCAATCGACCGGCGAAGGGCCTTCCTCACCTAGCATGTCGGTGTTGACTGTCCAATCAGCCACGATCGGTAACGGCGTTGTCGACGGTTCCGTTAAAGATGCCGCCTCCGTTTCCAAGCCTTGATAACGGCGTTGACTGACTTTTGGCTCGGTTGAAAGGAAGAGAAAAACAAGGTTTCATCAAAAGGAAAGAGTATGGACGGAATTCAACGGCCGCTGAAGTCTATGAAAATAAGGTAGTCTTGTCTTTCTTTACACGGCCCCGTATTTACTTGGACTTTGGGTACAGCCTAAAGCTAACCCCACCTACACCGTCCTCAAAAGAAGAAAGGAGAAGATCAACCCAATCCCCAGAGCAACTTTTATTATTATAATTAAATAATTTTTAAGTGTTTTTGGTTTAGATTCTCTGTATTTCAATCTATTTTATAAGTTTTTTTTATAAAAATTTGAGCTGTTCGATGTAATTTTTTATTTGATGATGTTTACTTGGTATTAAATTAATAGAGGATTAACTACTTTAAATAATTAGGGAATTATTATGGGAGCTTTATCTGAAAAGCAATGACACCTTTGATTATTTTCACCCTATTCTTTCTACCCTTTCTTCATTTCCTTCACTAGGTTACATTAAGCAATTTGTGCAAAGCAGATGTGGAATAGCCTACAAGTCAACGCCCTGTTGCCCACTTGCCCTTTGTTTTTTTTTATCTTGTTCCAGGCCATGCCCACATCCCTTTTTACAAAGCCGAAGACATGTAAAATTGAGGTTGTACTTGACAAACTACAGGCACTAACAATGGGGTTTTGTCTTGTTGGGTCTCGATAGGTTTCCAGATTAAGCAATCCATTTGACACAAAAAGCTGTGTTGACCCTTTTTTTTGGTTTGGGTTCCTTTGGAGTCTTCGATAACGTCAAGTGCATTGACCCTTTACTTTGTACTTAAGGCTGTCTAATCCATCATCTTAGATAATGAACAGTGGTCCGACTGTGACCCCATCACCAGGTTTGAGCCCTTCAACGGCCCTACGAGGAACCATAGAACATATGACGTCTGTGAACATAATTTTGTCATTCCAAGGCGTGGGTCTCTTTCCTCAATCTTCAAGTGATAATAGGGTGAATTTGGAGTTACGTTTTGGCAGGTATTCCAAGGGAAGAAGAAAGAATACACATGTTTCTTTAGTTCCTTTTGTTTTTTTTTTAATTGCAAGAAGTTCATTGAAAACAGGAATATAGAATTGTTAGGTCAAGAATCATCAGGGCCACGAACTTGCAATTGATTATAGGTTTGACGAAGAAGAACAGATTGAAGAAAGGAAGAAGTGGGCAGCGACTAAGGAGTGTTGGTTCTTGTGGGGAGGGGGCTCGACGGCTGAGTCAAAGCGTGTGGAGGTTACGGTCCTATAACCAGACAATAGCGATCCCAAGCTGCCTCACAGCTTCTCAATGACGTTCATTTCCTCATAGATTATTCCGCTAAGTTTCAATAGATTATCATGGTATGCTTGGTGTATGCTTTGGCAGTGGCTGATTACTACAGAAAGCTTTTTAAAACCACAGAATCCTGATAAACAAATGTTCCTTTGAATGTTTCTCTACTGTAAGGAATCGTACGACTGATGGTCATGAGGGAACACTATGACAAGCCATTGTAACCAAGATTAGCAGGAACAAGCAATTCTCCCACCCTGGAACATAATTGAGAACATATAAACCACACCAATGCACTGTTGCCCGTAGAAGTAGATGGAGAGAGAGAGAGAGAGACTTAAAGTTGCAAAATTGCCAAGAAAGTGAGTTTTATCACCAAAATTCAACAGGCCGGTTCAATGTTGTTACAACACAAATCAGTAGTAGTTACGTTCTATGAACTCTTCATTTCACCCTAATGTAAAACATTGCACAAAACATTGCTTACCCATGTCCGACACATTCCAAATCAATGTAACATAGCAAAGTAGAGCCATGGCCATCTTAACAAATGGTAGGTAACCCAGATTTTACACAGCTGGAGGCATATCCCAAATATTCTCAAATTTATTAGATCAATGGTAGGTAGAGTTCAGAGTACATTAGTTACCAACAGCTTCTTCACATTGACTTATCACCCTGCAAAATAATATCTTGTGTGCATGAGAGAGAGAGAGATGTCGACTAATCTTGAAGCTCAATCTTCTTGATATCTAATAAAATTATACATCCACAACAGGCACATGGGAGAATCAAGAGACATGAAGTCCACTACTTTAAGTGTCAATGAGTATTAAATGCTAGAAGCAAGTTAACAATATTTTAGCCCATCCATCTGCTCCAACAAGCCGGTAAAAGCTGCTGCTCCATAGTCTATATTCATTCAGAAAGAAAAAAGAACCATTAAACAAGCTGGTAGTTCATATTTCAGAATTAGATGTATTCTTCCACAAGTACATTCAATAGTTTAAACTATTGAATAGCTGTCTTCAAGATATTACTCCCTCATTCCTTTCCTAAAGAACATCTCTTTATCATAAAATTTAATGCTGTGTGAGCATTGTCTAGAGAGAGTATTAAATGACAGATAGGATATTGCGTCTTAAAACTCACATTAAACCTCTATAGAACTATATTTAAACAATAAATCAACTCCTTGTTGAAGCCAAAATACAGCTTCACTATTTGCATAGTGAAGAATGGTCACAAGCAGTGGCAGAGCCACATCTAAGCTGACTAAGTCCAATTGTTTCCCACCAGATATGGAGAACCAATAGGATTATATAAGTAGATGAGTGAGAGAAATGAATACTACCAATCTGTTGTATGAAAATAAACTACTCAAACTAATTGTATGCCTCATGGTTTTCTTGAGTAGAGAGGTAAAAAGGTAAAAATTCAATTATTACTATAGATTAAATGATTAAAGCTAGTTCACAAAATCTTGCTAGGGCTTGACAACAGATCCAACAGTCACAATGATTAGTTCAAAAACTAATTAAATCTTGCATAGAGTTCATATAAAAAGCAACAACTTTCTACTGAACTTCAACTTGCTAGGTTGTAGCCATGGTCAATTTTATTGGAGAAACAAAGAACGCAGCTTGATGGCAAAAGGAACAGGAGAAGGATTCAAAACAAAAGATAGAAGCGCATACAGCGAGCAGAGGCACATGTTAAGAGTAAGAGTCACAACAAGGAAAGGAACAGACTGATGCATGTCTTATGCATAGAATGCAAGATAGTTTAAATTGAGAGAAAGGAAACAGAAGAGTAATGATTGATGACAATGCAGAGCTCTGAATGTAACTTTTAAAAAGAATTATAAACGGGAAAGTTAAAAGAAACAAAAATGTAGAAAGAAATGCATCTCAATGTACACACCCAGGTGAGATATAGGATGAAGTCAACCAAATATTTAAATGGAACAAACATTTTTAATAAATGACTCAAGAAACCTTAATTGGGATGACACTGAAAGCTGGTAACTAGCGTAAAATGTTCATTCATCATCACACTAGAGTTACATTTCCTGGATTATGGATGGTAGAACCACAAAGACATGAATAGGAAAAAACTAAAAACTGAAAAAAACACCACCAAGTTTAAACCTTATTCAGACAAACCTTCTTAGGTCAAAAGACATGCATCCATAATTTCTGAATCCAACAACAAATAGAATATATGAAATCAACAAATCCCCGATGGTTCAGCAAATCTTAAGCCCATGTTAGAGGGCACCTCCCACTGACTGGAATAAAGGAAGCAAGATTCAGCCATTGATGGACCATGATGATTGGTCCAATCTTCATCAGGAGCCCAAACCGAGCCTCACACCCCTGACAAAAATATATAGACTTATCCTAACGAGTACTATTTGCTTCAAATGCAACTACAATACCACTCTTTGTTCCTAAAGGCTTATCATCTGTTATGAGTAAGCATCCCTAGGAAGCAAATTCACCCACTATATATGAACAAAAAGCACCGTGAAATCATACAAAAACTAACATTATAGAACCATAAGGCAACCATAATCCAAATTCAAAAAATCGATATTTCTTTATTATCAGATATCCAATTTCCCAATAAAAAAAAAGCATTTATGTTATTGTATATCCTAAATACTGTACAAGTGCAGTTTCAACAAGAAGTATTCAACAAGCTAAAGCAGACCCTGACGGTCTAAAAGCTTCAATAAACAATCAAGGAGAGGTTGGACGCTTGAAAGTGTGAGGCTGTGGAAGTAACAACGGACCTCTCCTCGTTTCCCTATCATCAAGTAACCTCTGCGTCCTCTTCGTCATACAATACTGCCTATCAAAATGCTTCACCTACACACAACCCAAACCAAAGACAAAACCCAAATGCAACCCAAATTCAAAAACAGTGAAAAAAAGAGAGAAAGAAACATAATTTCTGGTTAAATGATTAAGATTAGATAGCACTCAGTTACCCAAGAAGCGCGGCAATGCTTAACGAACTCTTCCCTGGAGCCTTTGCATTCAGCGGGGTAAAGCAGCCCCACTGACCCGATTTCAGTTGGTTTCTGGTCCGATTGCTTTTCCAAGCAAGAATAAAATGCATCGCGAGCCTTTTTTCACCCAAACCCCAAAAAGAAAGAGAAACAACATTTCGATTAGATTCCAAAGTTTTCACAATAAATCATAGAGATTAAAGAGATGGGTAGGAAGAGAGGGACCTTGTAGCATGCTTGCCTGGCTTTCAGAAGCACGTCAGTGTGGATTTCATCTCGTTTTCCTGATGCATAAGTTTCAAGCTCCATGGCCTGTTGGCTTCCCGGTTGGAACCAAGCAAGCAAGGATAGAACGAGCTGCTTCTTCACTTACCGAGTTCCCTTCATTTCGTTTCCGCAAGAGGCTCTAGTTGGGCTTGGTTTGGGCTAAATAGGACTAAGGTTTAGTGCCTCATCTGCAACAAATTTGGGTTAAGTTTAATATTGATTAATACTTGAATCAGTATTTTTTTGCAAGAATGGTTTGGGAAAGAAAAAGAAAAACGGAAACAAGAACCAAAGCAAATTAACTTCTAACTCTATTCATAGGCTTACCTAGGGTTGGTGGGAAATAGTACTTTGTATGGTATCTAGGTACCAAATAATGGACTCATTGTAACTTACAAACGAGACTTAACTTCATTTTGAATTGATTGAAATTGATTGTTTACTCACACCCAAGACTTTATATATCTTGTTTAACATATATACAATTAATAGCGATGTCCGCTTGCATGTGCACCATATGCATTTCCATGTCTATTACAAGAATTTAATTAGGCTCCTTTCATTTTAAAGGACACTGTTGAGAGAATGAAAGAAAAGCACTGCTAACCAATATTTGGCATGGCATCTTGGCCATGCATGCGTTCCTTGCGTTTCCCATCCTTAATAATTTGATTTGGCTTATGATTTCCACTTCCATCACTTGTTGGGTACCCGAATTCAACAACTTTATGGTACTGGTTTCACACTTTTGCGTACTGTTAAGGAAAGATTGCTACCTTTGATCAGATGAAGTTGGAGAAAGTAATATATAAGCTGCTTTTGGTTGGATGGCATCAGTGTCAATAGAGATAATGCACATGGTCATATCTTTACCTAGCTATTACAAGGTTGTTCGAGTAGGGGATCTAATCTAAGTGGACCAAAATGAAGAAAGAAATGTGGAATACTAGCTACAAAAACAGCCTGATATGCACAAATCTGCTGTAGCATCAAGCAGGATCCCTTGTTAAGTCAACTGCTGCAATTCCGTACTCCATGACTAGGAATTTTCAAGAACAAAGTCATCAGGACTCCTTTCCCATATCTGATCATCTCACAATTTAAACATAGAGGCTCTCATTGGAAACATGTTTTCAAACAAGAAGACAGTAGAGCCTTCGTAAATATGGATAATTAAAATCTGTATGAATACAAGGAGGTTTCCTGAAGCTAGCTGCTGGTTGCTGTTTAATGTTTGGGGAAAAAGATGAAAACTACTGCTACAAATATCATTCTGAAATTATAGTGGGAGGAGTATCATTACCCACGGAAGTGAAGGACAGTAGGGGACTAGGGGGGCTCTTCCATGACATGCACGCGCATAAACAAGCACGCAATCCAAGACAGAGTGACAGAAGGAAAAAGATAAAGATAGAAAAAGGCTGGGCACTAAAATGTAAATATTGATGATTTTTTGCAGCAGACACAAGCACTTAAATGTCACTTAGCTTATCAGACGTCTGCCATTAAGCTGCAAGTTGCTATACCCCAAGCCGCCCACTTGTACATAGAGTACTGCAGGTACGTTTCCTGCTTGGGAAGGTATTAAGAGAGGAAAAGTTCAAAAAAATAAATAATACTATATGAATATGGAAAATGGGGGCTTTGAGTTTTTGGTAGCCGATCTGCTAGGCAAATGATAATGAAGTTTTGACCGCGGCACGAAAACAAATAAATAAAGTGGGGTTAGGTTGTCCTATATGTAAAACTAAAAGAAAGCTTCCTCAGTGAGTATTTGTGGTTGTTCGAAAGAGGTTTTGCCTACATAGCTAGTTGGGCGAACAAAGTTCCATCAAATTTAGTAGGCTGTGGGAGCAAAAGCTTGCTAGAGATGTGGCCACTGTCCACGGGTAGTACACTGAAAAAGAGGGTAGCTGTTTTGATTCGCGGAACTTGTTAGATTGAGGTGCTATCCGCCTAGACCTACATAGATATACAGTACATGTATATATATACTACTGCTAGTATTATTCTTCCATGGCTGTTGTTTTCTGTTGGTAATTGTCTGCAAACTTGGTCATTGGCTCATGGCCTTACAGTGTAGCCCATTTGGAGAAACTAGACCAAGGTAGCTAAGGGCAGCTAGCCATC